ACCTCATAACTCTTGGTTCTGAGAAAGTCCTCCAATTGCTGCACCACGCTCTTGGTTCTGAGAAAGTCCTCCAATTGCTGCAATTTCATGCATAATGGCTAATTTTTGTTGTATATACAACTTCACATAATGACATCGTATTTTATTGATAAAATGAAAAGAAAAATATTTCCCATGGATTCTACTTTGATAATAATAATGATTTCATTTAACTTAACAATTGATCGTTTTGTCAAAATAATCACTTTTATTAAAATTAAAGTAGAAGGCTAAATATTTATGAAGAAAAAAAATTATTAAGTAATTCGAAATCAGTTTTAAAAAATTAATTAAGAAAAAAATAGTTAAACAGTACAAAATCCAAAATAAAGTAAATTTTAGACCTGCCCCCCACTCTCTCCATCGCCCCACTTACTAGTTGTCACGTCAATAAATTAAAGTTTACAAGAAATATATCTGACTCATTTGAAAAATCTCAATTTACTTTAGGTGTTTTCATTGATTTGGCGAAAGCTTTTGATACTATTGATAACAAAATATTTTTAAAAAGTTGGAGTGGTACGGAATTACTGTAAATATATTAATATGGTTAAAAAGTTACCTTAATAATCGAAAACAATTTGTTTATGCGGATGATAATATATCATTTAATTTGTTAAGTATTTCACGTGGAGTTCCTCAAGGATCCATATTAGGACTTCTCCTATTTCTAATATATATTAACGATCTACCAAAAACTTCAAACCTAATGACAATTATGTTTGCTGATGATTCCAAATTATTTCTTTCTCATAATAACATTTCTACACTTTTTAACAACATGAATATTGAACTAGTTAGAATTTCCGAATGGTTCAGATTAAACAAACTATCATTAAATATTGATAAAACTAAATGGACTTTTTTTCAGTTTTATGGTAAAATGTACCAGCTGCCTAAAAACTTACCTTTTCTTTTTATCGATAAAATAATTATTAAAAAATTTTTAGTGACAAGATTTTTAGGTGTATATATCGATGAAAATCTTACATGGAAAAGCCATATTACTAACTTGTGCAATAAAATTTCAAAGAGTATAGGCATTTTATACAAAATAAGAAACGTTCTTGATAAGCATACCTTAATTCAGTTATATTATTAGTTAATTTATTATCATATTAACTATGCAAACATTGCTTGGGTAGCACTTATAAAAGTGAACCTAAATATCTTTATCGGCAACAGAAGCATGTAGCACGCCTTATAAATTTCAAGGACCGTTTTGCTCACGCCAAGCTTCTTTTATACAATATGAAAGCACTCAATATATATGAATTAAATGTTTTTAATATTCTTTGTTTTATGTATAAATGCAAGACCCACCTATCACCCGTTTCATTTCGTAACTTGTATTTACAAAAAGATAGAGATAAAAATATTTTAAGGAACGATAACTTAATTCGACAACCATTTTCTCAAACTAATATTGGAAAATTTTTTATTACATTTCGCGGACCATTTTTATGGAACAGTATAGTTCTAAATACTTCTAAATATATTTTTCATGAATGTAATTTTGATTATTTTAAACGAACTCTTAAAAAACTCATTTTTTCAACTAAAAATATACTAATCTATTTAAAAATTTTTGAAAATCTCTTATCTATATTAGTATATGTATTTTATATAATGGATATTCTTTTTATCAACAACACAATTATTTAACATGTTTAATCTTGTGAATTATTTGACATGTTTAAGTTTTTAAGTTTTGGAACTCTTCTATTGTAATATTGTATGTTAATTTTGTAATAAAAAGAAATTGAACAAAATTATATAAATAACAAGAATAGAAACATTGAAAATAATAATAATAATAAAATAATAATATTAAAAAATAAAAAGGACAAAAGTATTAAATATATATATATATATATATATATATATATATATATATATATATATATATATATATATATATATATATATATATATATATATATATATATATATATATATATATATATATATATATATATATATATGGGGGAAAGCAGGGCAACATGGCGAACGTTTTGAAAGCCCTGAGTTGTTGCAAAACTATAAGTCGTGAAGACATAATACTTTCTCAGTATGTTTATGTTATTAAATTCTTTCATTGTCGGCATGAATTTTCAATTTGCAAATATAACAATTTGAAATAAATATTAAAATAAAAAGTTCATAAATTTGTCATCTGGTCACGTGACCGGGCCAAGATGACTTATTATGCAACTTTTACCTCCAATTTTATAAAAATTTTAAAACTACTAATAACTCTAACTAAAGTAACAAAAAATAAACAAAAATTGCAAAAAACTACTTCTAAAGAAGTTATACTTGAGGACACCATCCATTATGAGAAACTTAAAAAAATAAAGAAAAAGTGAGGAATTTTTTTTTAGGCGCTAAAAGTAAACTTATGTGTATAAAATTGCGTTAATAATATTTCAAAAAGCCAATTAGTGTTTGAAAATACAAGATGCAAATACAGTTTCGTTTTCACCCAATTTTAAGTATTTTTGTTGAGTTCTTATATGAAAACCCATCTTGTCCCATTCGCCATGTTGCCCCGCTTTCCCATATATATATATATATATATATATATATATATATATATATATATATATATATATATATATATATATATATATATATATATATATATATATATATATATATATATATATATATATATATATATACGGTAATTTATATATTTGGCAGTAGCTTGGCGTTTTTGCTGTCAGAAGCGTAAACGGAAATTTGGTAATTTGGCCTAACACACAGCGATAACCATCGTATCTTGGTTCTTTTGCACAACCTTTTGAACGATCTAGAAATGTACTTTATTCAGTCTGAAAATGTGATTATATTGATTACATACAGTAGTATAAATTAAATAATAATATGTTGCAATTAATAATATTCAGTGATTATTTTCGACAAATTAAATTCAGTGCTCGCAAGAGATTTATTTAGAAAATTATGAACATTATTATTTGCATGAGTCAGCTCTTCGGAAGACAGTAATTTGATTGATGTAAGGCGTAAACACCACAACAAAAGGAAAAACATAAAAAAAAATAAAAAATAATAAAAAATAATTAAAAAAAAAACGTTCTAATTTCTTCAATAGCGGTTTGTCTGTGACAAGACCTTATGGTCTTCTTTGAGTATCCGCGTTCTTTATTTTTATTTTTTATACTTTATTTCTTAACGAAATCTTGACTTGTTATCTTTTCTTTTTTTATATTATTTGTAACATATGTATCATAAATATTGTAATAAAGAACGAAACAACAACAAAACTAATGTAATTATTAAGAATTAACAAGAGAGAAACTTTGTATATAAAGCAGTTTGTACGTACGTACGTTTTAATGATGATTGTAATTGCTGTCAAGATTATTAAACTTTATATATATATATAATAAGTTGCGTTATAAAATAAATCAATTCCAAATCTCAAACATTAGTTAACACGATATAAACGAATTCCAAATCTCAAACGTTTATATCAGGGGTCGGGAAATTGTGGTCCACGGCCCAATTGTGGGCCTTTGCTACATTATTTGTGGGTTCCAAGCCCAGGGCCGGCGCGAGTAGGTGTCACGTGGGGGGTGCCATAACAACTTTTGCCGGGGAAAAAAAAAAAAAAAATTTCAAAATTTGCCGACTGTCATGACGACATTTTCCGACTGTCTAACCTATATCAAAAGGGTCGACTAACTAGTCTAAAAGGGTCCAATTTGCCGACTAAGGGTCCAATTTGCCGACTAAGGGTCCAGTTTGCCGACTAAAAATCATTGATGGGGGGGGGGGGGGTGTCACACACCCTCCCCACACACACCCCTGTCGCGCCGGCCTTGCCCAAGCCACCCAACCGCATATTATACAAAGTAGTGTAGTTGTGGGCCTTTTAGTTATTTTCCGGGCTGTAAAACATCTAAAGTCTTCTTTTAAAATACTCACCAGATCTTGTCATTTTAGTCATAACAAAAAAATATTTTTTTAATGCCCTAAAACACTGTAGCACTTTAACAGTTCAAATAAGATCCTAATACTAAAAAGTTAAGTCATGCTAAACAAATGATTCTACAAAAATAAAAACATTCGAAAAGCGCGTCGAAAATAATTATAACATTCGAATTTGTTCAGATAAAGTAACTTAAACAACATAATTTAATTAATTTAACGCTATATAAACTATTTCATAAATATACTAGTGGTAAAAATATCGTCTTAGTCTTTGGGATGTTTTTTGTACTTTTCTTGAATAAAAATACTACATTATTTAGATTTTTTACGAAACAAGTATTATAAAGTAAATAGTCGGAAAACTTTAACTTTTTAAATAGCCGGTTATTTAAGACCCAATCTTCGGATGTTCAATAGCAAAAAATTTGTCAAGTATTACCAGTTATCAAATAACCGGTTATCGAGTTTGGATGCTTTACTCAGAAGTTGCAACTCTGCTAAATGCACACATTAATTTGCAAAGATATGTTAGGAAAACATGAACCGAAGCGTAAATATGCACGTCAGTAGAATGAAAAATGGGAGCTGATTTATTTCTTCACTGAGGGGCCAAGTAACAATGCTTTATGTTTAATATGTAATGAGACTGTTAGTGAAAACTGAAAGAAACCAAGCTTGAACGTCATTTCTTATCAAAACATGAATTGTACAATAGTAAATATCCTCTTGATTCAATAACCAGAAAAACGAAATGCGACTCATTGAAAAGCTGTTTAGAAAAACAGAAAAATTTGTTTCAAAAAATGTCTAGCAGTGTTGATTGTGAAACTCGTGCCTCTAATATGGTGTAATGGATATTAGCAAAAAACCTGAAACCATTTACTGATGGTGAAATAATCAAAGAATAATCGAAAGTTCTTTTCCCAAATGATAAAAAGATTCATGACAAGTTTCAAAGTATGCACTTGCCCGTTCGTACAGTTACTTAAAAAGTCGAGAAAATGGATGTTAATGTTTATGAACAAATGTCAAACAATCTGTCAGAAGCTGAATTCGTGAGTATCGCTCTCGATGAGTTTACTGACCTTGTCGGTAAAGCACAAGTTTGTGTTTATGCACGTTTTATCACTACGAATTGTTATTTATTTGAAGAACTGATTGGAATTGAACCACTGGCTACAACTACAACTGGACAAGACATTTATGACAAATTGTTAAAAATATTAAAAGATAGGAAAGTGTCTCTTTATAAAATATCTTCAGATGTCACAGATGGCGCTCCTGCTATGATTGGAAGAATTCGAGGAATTGTTACTTTGTTGAGAAAGAGTTTTGAGTTTCTATGCGCTAAAATTGCAACAATTGATGATGTAATGACAGCTGTAGAAAAACAATTAATCATATACGTTCTAATGTACTCAAACGGCGTCAATTTCGTGCGCTAATGGAACAAAATGAAGATGAACATGATGATCTTCTTCTTCATTTAGAGGTATGTTTACAAAAAATAAATAATTTACCATTTCAAGCATAAATGAATGTTTGTCTATTTTTTGCAGGTCAGGTGGCTATCAAGAGGAAAGATTCTTGACAGATTTTGGGAGTGTTTGCCAAGTGTACTGCAGTTCATGGTAACTCAAAAATTTTCATTCATTACAATGTCTATTGAAGAATTTAAGTGTAAACTGGTTTTTCTTTGCGACATCAATTGCGACATCAGCACAATTCAATGCTTAGAATAAGAGATTACAAGACCGCCGTGAGCTGGTTTGTGATTTAATCAACCACATCACTGTGATGAAGACAAAACTTAATTTGTACAAAACTCATTTTGCATCTGGTAATTGTACTCATTTTCCTACTTTAACTGAATGTCAATCATCAAGGGAAATGTTATCGTCATTCTCATTAATAGTGACTGCTCTGTATGATCAATTTGATAACAGATTTAATGAATTTGAAGACTTAAAAAAGCATATGGTATTTTTGCGTTATCAATTTGACTTTGATATGAATGATATGAGTATTCTAATGGGCTTTGAAGAAGTTGATATTTTAAAAGCAAAGGATGAAGTAAGGGGCCATCCATAGAGGACGTCACCATTATTTAGCAAATTTTTGACCCCCTCCCCCCTTTGTCACCGGTTGTCCTTTTTCAATATACCCCCTGGAAAAGCACGTTATAAAATCCTGACCTCCTCCCTATTTTTAACTCCAAAAAAATTTATTTCATCTTGTAATGATGTTTGAATCTGATGCTATACCTTTGAAAAATAAAATTAAAAATATTCTCATACATTATCTTCTTAAAAACACATGTTTACGTAGTTTTCCACGTTAATTAAACTAAAATAAAAAATCTATAAATAGACGTCCTTTTCTGACAACCTCCCCCCCTCCCCATGTTCTTTTTTGTACTTTTTAACTAGACCCACTCTCCCCCCCCTTTTTGGATGACGTCCTTTATGGATGGCCTCTAATTATTTTTTAATGTGACGACGAGTTGAGAAGAAAGGCACCAAAAAAAGATGAAGATGGCACTTGAAAATTTAATTCTTTTCCGCCATGATGTCATGAAGGAACATTTTCCAGTTCAAAAAACTTGCAAATAGACTTATCTGTATGTATGGCACTAGTTATCAATGCGAACAAACATTCTCAGCCATGAAAATTATAAAAAATGTTTACAGAACAAGACTGACTGTCACTCATTTGAATGACCTTTTGCTAGCTGCAACAACAAAATACTCACCAAATTTTTAATTGTGTTTTATGTGTTTTTTTTCTTAAGTATGTATTTTGTAATGATACAATTATCATAGTCATAATACAATTATTAGTTATTTAATCTAATTCTTTACTATATTATACTATATAGTTAATATAGTATATTTTGTATATAATTTATTTATTGCTGTGGGCCGCAACTAAAACAAGAACTTTGCAAGTGGGCTCCTTTGAAAATATGGTGCCGACCACTGGTTTATATCGTATTAACTAATAACACGATATAAATAATGCAACAATTAGGTGACAACGTAATGACATAGTCTAATTCTGATTTCGATGTGGCTGATAATATATGTGAAAACCTCGATAAGCCAGCATCAAAAAGAAAAAAGTAAGATATGAAATTATCAGTTTTTTCTTTTTGATTAATCATGTATAGTAGTTACAATTTGTAGAATCAAATGGAAAACTTAATTATTGGCTCTTCTTAATTTATAAATTGGAAATATAATAAATAAATAAAAATAAATAAAATTGGAAATATAAAAAAAAACTCAGTAAGTCTATTATAGTATGTTCAATTAGTTCTTTCATAATTTTTATGATTTTCTAAATAAAAAAGAAAGATTATGATGATAAATTTATAGATATAAATACAAAAAAAAAATGTCTCACCATGTCTACTTGGTGTATTATTTTAAAATTTGCGTATTTCAACATTAAATTTCTTAAATGTACTAAAAATTCTAGATATTAGTAAAATACTTTATATAATTGGTATGCAATTATACTTTATAGGCAATATGCAACATGTCACAATATATGCAACATGCAACAATACCTATATGCAACATGTCACAAGATTTTTTAGTTAAAAGGTCTTAAAAAAAATATGTCTGTTAAAAAAGGTGAAAAGAAAATAAGTGTGTCAAATCTTTTGCTGTGCTATGTGTTCTTGTTGTTCTGCACTTGTATGATAATTATCCAATCAAACAAAAATGTATCATAAAACCGGGTGACTATTTACAATCAACAAACATTGAAAATTGTCTTGAAAATTGTGGTTCGTTAGGAACTGGCAACATGCCTTAAAATATTCTGGTTCGACTTCGTTAACATGCTTTACAATATTCTAGTTTGACTTCTTTGTTAGCCATATTTTTAATTTTTCATTGTTCAGTCAGTTTTTTGAAAACTTTGAAGGTTTACGTTTTTGTTTAATAAGCAGTTTTTTAATTTTACTTATATTAGAGCTGCACCAGGCAATGTTTGCATAGTTTATATAACAATGCATGAGGGAGAAATATAAAATTTTTAGGCAGTTTTGGTTTAAAAACTGCTTGGCTTTGAATAGTATTCAAATAGTATTTGAATAGTATTTGAATAGTATTCAATATTTTTTGAAACTTTATTTTCTATTGTACTTATGTGTTATCTCCATGTTAAGTTTTCATCAAGTATCACTCCTAAAAATTTTATTGATGACTCTAATTATTTTAAAGTTGCCAATATAAAGATTAGGAAGTTTTAGTGGAATGTTTTCTTTATCGTGAACTCTATAAAAAAAAGTATACTTAGTTTTATTTAAATTAAAGGACAATTTGTTTGCCTTGAACCATTCCGCTAGATTTAAAAGTTCTTTGTTTACTATTTTAAATAAAAGTTTAATATCTCCATTAGAGTAAAATAAATTCGTGTCATCTGCAAATAAAACAGAGTTTAAAATGTTTGAAAACTTATGAAAATCGTTTACATAAATAAGAAATAAAAGAGGACCCAGAATTGAACCTTGGGGAACACCGCAATTTATTGTCATATAGGAAGATTTTCCTTCTTCGTATGATATGTACTGTTTTCTATTGTTTAGATAACTTATGAACCAATCTAAATATGTGCTTTTAATACCATAACTTTCGAGTTTTTTTATAAGAATATTATGGTCTACTGTATCAAAAGCTTTGCTAAGATCTATAAAAACTCCAAGAGTAAACCTTTTCTTGTCAAATGCTTTAAATATATCATGAACAATATTAATAATGGCATGGTCAGTTGAATTACCTGGCTGAAATCCAAATTGTTTATTATATAAAATATTATTTGTATTTAAAAAATTCAAAATCCAATAATACATAATTCGCTCTAAGATTTTTGAGAAGCAAGGGAGAATTGAAATTGGTTTGTAATTTTCAGAATTAAAAATATCTCCTGATTTAAAAATAGGTGTAACCCTTGCAATTTTAAGTTTCTCAGGATAGACACCTTGTTTTAAAGAGAGATTAAAAATATGTAAGAGAGGGATTGTCAAGTATTTTATTGATTTTTTTATTACATTACTACTAATATTATCAACTCCTACACTTTTGTTTTGTTTTAAAAGATTTACTGCATCTATAAGTTCATTTTCAGTAATTTCATAAATATCCATTTTAGAGGTCTTATTAGGAGTAAGATATGTCTCAAAGTTTACTTCAGTGGTTTCTATTTTTGACGCTAGAGTGGAACCTACACTTACAAAATATTGATTAAGTGTTTCGGCAATTAAAGATTTATTTGTAATAACTTTATTATCAATTGTTAGATTTATAGGAAGAATATTTCTGTCAGTTTGTTTCGTACCAATTACTTCCTTAATAATGTTCCAAGTATTGTGCCGATCATATTTATGTTTAATTAATTGTTCGGTATAGTACAACTTCTTGGACTTTTTAATAACCATCTCAAAAATACGTTTATAATTTTTGTAATTGGTTTCATTGTTGAAAGTTTTTTTTTTTGAGAAATTTATTATATAGCCGTTGCTTTTTTTTTGACGACTTGATAATTCCCGGAGTCATTATCAAATCCATGGATTTGATAATGATTTTGTAATTAATGGAAACGCTGTATTATAAAGTTGTTGTAATTTATCTAGAAACTTATTGTATGCCTTATTTGTGTGTACAATATCAAGGAGGTTATCCCAGTTTAAATCTGCTAGAAGACTATTAAAATTTTCAATGGATTTTTCATCTATTTGTCGTGTAGTTTTTTCAATTTTTTTTGCATAGATTTTATCGCATTTTTGTGAGAAAAGAAATATAGGGAAGTGGTCTGAAATGTCGCATTTAAATATACCCGTTTTTATTTTTGATTTAAATTCGTTGGTTACTATTTGGTCTATAACAGTTGCGCTTTCTCAAGTTATTCTTGTGGGTTTATTAATTAGTGGAATATAGCCTTTCTGATAAATGACGTTATAGAAATTATTTATTTTTGTATTTGAATGACGCATGTTCATGTCCAGGTTGAAATCACCTACAAAATAAACGCTTTTATTTTTGCTTAACTTATTTTTAATTATGTTTTTAATATAATTTTCGAATTGTTTTATTGAACCGGAAGGTGGTCTGTATAAAACGTGGATGATAATGTTTTTTGTGGTTTTATTTATTATTTCCACGCACAGTGATTCACAATCATTAGTGGTTGAACACAAATCTTTTCTTAGTTTGTATACTAAAGTATTGCTTATAAATACACACAAACCCCTTCCTTTCTTCCCAGATTCTCTAAATTGATGAGTCACTTTAAAATTTGGCAGCTGAAAATTTGTATTTGACATAATATATTCATCAGTACACCAACTTTCGCTGAGACTAATAATTTTAAAATTGAATTTAATCTCGCATAAAAATTGTTTAAATGATTCAAAATTTTTTGAAATGCTCCTAATGTT